ACTTTATTTCACACCTTCCTTTAGCAAACTGAGCTAACCAAACCCCTTTAAAATAAAATCATCTAGCAATAAACGCTAACATACAATTGCCTTCCAAACTGTTTGTTGCAATCTAAAGGTTATGGGTGGAGGGGGGGTTGTGGGGTGGGGGGAGAGACATATTTTCATCAATAAAGGATTACCGAATTATAGAAAACAAGATTTAGTTATGTTCTGCCTTTAACTAGCACAGCTACTCCATTCTCAAATCATCCTTCCCTATATTTTATGAAGGTATTACAATCCACGATGTTGGGCTCTCAGTCTTGTTATTTCTGTTACCATGGTTCAGTTATACCTACAACAACTGGTTTATCCCTTTAAATTATGACATACTATTCCTCATTCTGAAATAAACACCACTATTGTTCAACAGCCATAAGAAATCCACTCAGCACCTGCAGCAATACGAGAGATCTACCAGTAAGCTGATACCACATTAACATACTACAAAGAACTGCAGAAATTGGGAACCTGAAGCGTAAACAGAAATTCCTGGTGAAACCAGCAGGTCTGGCAGCATCTGTGTGGAGAAAGCAAGTTAACGTTTTGAGTTTCTGCATGAAGAGTTACCAGACTTGAAACACTAACTCTGCTTTCTCCCCACAAATGCTGCCAGACCCGCTGAGTTTTGGCATCAATTTGTTTTTGTTTAGCTCATTCCACATGTCAGTCCACACCTCCATTCAAAGTCTCTATGTCCATTTTTATAAAGAAATAAGGCTTGCTTTTATTTTGCATCTTTTGCAGCCACTAAAGCACTTTAGAGCAGGTCGTGAAGTACTTTTGAAGTGTAACCATTGTTGTAATCTAGGAAATATGCCAACTCATTTGTCCAGAGTGAGTTTCCTAAAGAAACAAAATGCTAATGACGAGCTAAACAGTTTTTCTTAGTGATGTTTGAGGTATAAACATTAGTTAGTAGATCTGGGATAACTCTCCTGCTCTCCACAGTGGAATCTTTAACCTCCCCCTGAGAAAGGTGGTAAGATCTCTGTTTAATGTCTCATCTGAAAGTTGACACATCCAAAACCGCAGTTCTGAACTGGAATGTCAGCCCGTGTTTTGCGCTCATGTTACTGGAGTGAGACTTGAACCTACGACCACCTGATTCAGGGCTAAGTGGCATTTCTGAAGAAGGGTCTAGGCCCGAAACGTCAGCCTTCCTGCTCCTCTGATGCTGCTTGGCCTGCTGTGTTCATCCAGCTCTACACCTTGTTAACTCCTACTATCTCTGGCACGAACACATGTCTGACACACAGCGGAGATTGTCAGTGATAATTTTCCTATTGTAATTACACCCTCCCACCTCTGATGCCTCTGTGGTGCACAGAACTTCCATCTTTATTCAAGGGATGTGAGAATCACTAACTAGGCCAGCATTTGTTGTCCATCCATAATTGCTCTTGAACTGAATGGCTTGCCCAGCCATTTTGCACATTCTCCCCGTGTCTGTGTGGGTTTCCTCCAGGTTCTTTGGTCTCGTCCCACAATCCAAAGATGTGCAGGCTAGGTGGGTTAGCCATGGGAAATTCATGGTTACAGGGATAGGGTAAGGAAGGTGGGTCTGCGTAGAATGCTCTTTGGAGGATCAGTGTAGACTCCATGGGCCAAATAACCTGCTTCCACACTATAGGGATTCTATGTTTCCATGATTTCAGAGTACAAATAAGAGTCAACCACATTACTGTGGGTCTGGTGTCATGTGTAGGCCAGGCCAGCCAGATTTCCCTCCCTAAAGGATATGAGTGAGCCAAATGAGTTTTTACAACAATTGATTATAGATTCAAATAGACTCAGTCACCACCACTGAGAATAGTTCTCAATTCCAGATTTTATTCATTGAATTTAAATTTCACTATCTGTCAGGGTGGGATTTGAAACCATGTTCAAAGAGCAATATCTTGGGCCTCTGGATTACACATCCACTGACATTACCACTAACATTTCCCAGCTTTTCATAGCTCCAACTACAGCAAACTTTATTCAATTATACACCTCCAATACCTGAAGTTTACTGTGGTATTGCAATATCCACAATGTCCAAGTGGTCAGCAGAGGGTGCGAGTGAGAAGGCCCTGTGTTGGTAAGTTTTATTCAAGACAAAGTTGCATTATTATTTAAGTGATTATGTTGTAAATAAAGTATAACAATGATACGTACACCCCCTTCATTACATTTCTATTACTTAGTGTGTGTTTACATTGATTATGTGGACCTCAAGATCAACCAATATATTCGATCAACTGGTACATTCCTGGTCCCATACGTGCTGGTCATAAAACATTTGCTGTACTACTTCTAGTAAAACATAGAAACACAGAAATTAGGTACAGGAATAGTCCATTCAGCCTTTTGAGCTTGGTCTGCCATTCAATGTGATCATGGCTGATCATCCAACTCAGTCCTCTGTTCCTGCTTTCTCCCCATACCATTCAATCGCTTTAACCCTAAAAACTATATCTAATGGCTTCAGTGAAACATTCACTGTTTTGGCTTCACCTGCTATCAGTGGCAGTGAATTCCATGGACTAACCACTTTCTGGGTGATGAAATTACTGCTTTTTGTAAACTTTCATATAAAATCTTGTATAAACAAAGGATTGAATAGAAGGTGTTAAAATTAAGACCAAATTCTCTGTGCGCCCTGGTTCGTTTATTTGCCATCCTCTAATCTTTTTTCATCTGAAGACATTCTTGATTTTGACTCCGTGCGTGGGTACATCGGAAAACCGAATCTTCCTTCCCTCAAATGTGAAAACACTACTTGAAGGCTCTCAAGGAGACTTTAAAAAAAAAGGAAGGAAATATTTAGGGTGGTACGGTGGCACAGTGGTTAGCACTGCTGCCTCACAGTGCCAGTAACCAGGTTCGATTCCACCGTTGGGTGACTGTCTGTGTGAAGTTTGCACATTCTCCCCTGTGTCTGCATGGGTTTCCTCTTGGTGCTCCAGTTTCCTCCCACAGTCCAAAGATGTGCAGGCTAGGTGGATTGGCCATGCTAAATTGTTCAGGGATTTGTAGATTAGGTGGGTTACAGAGGGATGGGTCTGGATGGGATGCTCTGAGGTTCGTTGTGGACTTAAATCTAACGTGAGCTCCGTTTTCTCCTTCACAGCTGCTGCCAGACCTGCTGAGATTTTCCAGCAACTTTATTTTTGTTCATTGTGGACTTGTTGGGCCGAAGGGCTTGTTTCCACACTGTAGGGATTCTATGATGATTCTATGATGAAATAACTAAAATAAATGAAAAAGTAGTGATCACTATACTTGCGCCCAACGATTTACACAATGATCAGGGACTTTTTTTATATCTTTTGGTTACAGAGCTTGAGGGAGATTAGAAAGCAAAGTAAAATGTATTGAATTAAAACAGTGGTATCGTGTGTCAACTTGGAAGTCAAATATAGATTAGACACAGAAAATCACTTGAGAGCACCATTAAGTGAATACATCACTTGAGAGCAATATTGTGTGAGAGACAGGTTTTTTTTGGCTCATACAATGTGTCAGTACCATTTTGTTAGTGGATTCTCTGGCACATTTAAGAAAGGAGAATCATTTTAATTAACAAAGCTGACCTTCTGAATCACAAATCTTTGATGGGTTGACACTGTTCCCAATTCCTTCACTCAGTGACCCTCAGTAATGGGAGACAGAGACAGGCAGGAGAATACTAGGAGTTCACTGCAGTTTAATTTCATTCAGATTTGCACAGCACAAGCTCACAATCAGAAATAGAGGAGGCATTTCCCGCATCAACACAGCAGTGTAAATATTCAAAGATGTCTAATCATGAACATAGACAACAAGGTGCAGGGCTGGATGAACACAGCAGGCCAAGCAGCATCATAGGAGCAGAAAGGCTGACGTTTCGGGCCTAGACCCTTCATCAGAAAAGGGGGAGGGGAAGGGGGTTCTGAAATAAATAGGGAGAGAGTGGGAGGTGGATAGAAGATGGATAGAGTTGCAGTACTTTGTACCTAAGATGGCATTGTGTGGGCGACACTACATTTTTCACTGTACTCCTCTATCCTTGTACTCGAGTACACATGACAATAAAACCTAAATCTGAATCTAATTCCACCAGAAACTACAAAATCCATCAATTGCAAAGACAATTTATTAAATAAATCTTAAATGGAATCCAAATAAGCAAACTCAGGTATCCTGGAAAGTGAATTGCAGAAGAGATGGATTTGCAATTACTATTCTTTTAACAGATCAAAATGAAATCATTCGGGGGACCTATAATCAATTTATTTTTACTTTACTAACATTTACTTATTTATTGACCTTTTGTACAAAGTAATTACTGTGAATGTTGGTCAAACTGGGTCTTAACAGAGCAAGTAGTTCAACAGGTGATTGGAAGTGATTGCCTTGTTAAGTGACTGGGTTCGTTTAAAGGGGGACCTGGTGAGATGGAGGTGTGGTAGGATCTGCAAGCCTGTATTGTAGGGGCTCTTGTGGCACAGTATTGCTGTCCCTACCTTTGATCCAAAGCATCGGAGTTCAAGTCCCACCTGTGCTGGAATTGTATCATAACATGCCCAAACAGGGCAATTCAGAATACTTTAAAGTTGAATTGTAGGGGGTCTTGTGGGACAGTGGGAGTGCCCTTTCTCTGATCCAGGAGGACCGAGTTCAAGTCCCACCTGCTCCAGAGGTGCATAATAATATCACCTGAACAGGTTATTTAGAAAATACTGAATTAAATCAGGAGTCACATAATACCAGGTTATAGTCCAACAGGTTTATTTGAAATCACAGGCTTTTGGAACGCTGCTCCTTCATCAGACTTCATCCGATGAAGGGGCAGCGCTCAGAAAGCTTGTGACTTCAAATAAACCTGTTGGACTATAACCTGGTGTCATGTGACTCCTGACTCTGAAGAGTTGGTGATGGGTATATTTTTATTCAGCCTGGCAACATAGCAATCTATGATGCAATTTTCAATTAATGATGTGTACTAACGCCTACTGATTCGACTGAATGAACACTGCAGCTGGGAGACACACAGATCCCAAATCATTTGTAACCAGGATGTGCTGAGGCCCCATCATATCATTATAAACAGCACCAGGCAGCAACTGTTACCCATACAACTTTGTACAAATTGTGAGGTTGGTTTGTAAACTGGAAACGGTATAGTCTATGAAGAAAATTACAAATGCCTCACAGGATAGTGCACACATTTCTTCCCAGATTGACTAATCACTTACAAGATAGATGATTATGTTGACTTTTAATTCCCAGATTGAACGTATAATGGTACATTTCCCATACGCCATACACAGCCCTCCCATGCAACACTGAACTTTTGTTTCTACATTACATCACTGTTTTTAGGGATTAGTTCATAAAACTCTAATTCCCTCTAAACGCTATGTTGCTGTTAACATTGTAGTGATTGGCACAAGGTCAGCAAGGTGAACCTCATAGAATAGGAGTTCTTTGACTGGGGCTGTTAATCTGGTCCAATCAGGGAGCCCTGGCTGGCAGATTATAAACAGGAGTGTCAGAGGTTCTGGTCACTCAGAGCTGGGTCAGTGTCATGTACTATGCACTTGTAAATAAAGGGTGACTTGGTGACAGGATACCGGCCTTTGTGGAGCTATTTCAGTAGCAACAAGAAAAAAAAACATGCCCCTGTAGAGATTGGCTCACCTGACACCTGCATTGACATAAGCAGAATGATGTATGTGAAAGCCCACGTGTTACACGGATGTTTTCAAATATTTGGTAAACGTACAGTGTCCAAGTGACAATAGCCTGCTGAAGCATGCTACATTCCCCTTCCTCTTTAGAATGATGCTTAGTTTTGACTGGCATGTTCCCTGCGTGGTGAATCAATTTGAACCTGGCTGACAGCCAGCACTCAAAGGCAGGCAGGCAGGCAACTGCAGGCCAATGAGGCATGAGGAATTAGGCCTTGGGTGCTTAACAACATACTGCAAGAGATCTTAAATTCCACTCACTAATGTAGGGCCTCAGGCTTTGACTCCTGTAGCTACGAAATGACGTAACGTTGGCAACATTCGGAGAAAAAAAACGATTCTCTTGAAAGGGAAACAAATCTTGAGCTTTTTAAATCAGATTGGAGTCCAAAGGAATAAATATTAGTGCCAACCACCCGAAAAAGCTCACAACTGTTTAAGTTGATAAAATAAGGAGCCTCCAGTAAATAAGCAAAATTTATGAAAGATCATGAACAAATGAGCATAGTTTACCTACAAAACAACTTTTATACCCCACATGTTGCAGAAGTTCTCAGGAACATTAGCCATCTCAACAGTTGCAGCATTATCGCTGTTGACTTACAGACACAGTGATAGGAATTAGTTCTGTGTCAATACCTAATCCAACACTACTAGGGAATATCAATTTATTGCTACCGTGTTTAGATGCCTGCGCTCAAAGACTGAAAATGCCATCAAGAAAATAGTTATCAGCAAGATATCACTCGTCAAGGTATATTAATCTACCAGTATTAATACTGTTCACCTTCCACAACTAAGCTAAGTTTTGCACAACCTCGGAGCATTGCAAAGAACATTACGGTGATTTGGAAATGAGGTTACTATTAAACAGAGAAGATAGGAGCAGGAGGCTCCACCATTCATCATGATCATGGGTGATCCTCCAACTCAATAGCCTAATCCTGCCTCCTCCCCATAACCTTTGATCCCATTTGCCCCAAGTGCTATATCTAGTCACCTCTTGAATATTGGAAAACGGAGAAATAAAGCAGCTACTCTGTGCGCAGTAAGGTTCCACAAAAAGCACCAATAATGTGTTGGTTGATTATAGAATCATACAGTACAGAAGAGGCCTTTTAGCCCACCGAGTCTGTACCACCAAAAATAAACTAAATCTACATTAGTCCCACTTTCCCATGATGTCCAATGAGAGATTAACACTGTCCAGGCAAGCAAAATGACTCTATTGCAATTCTTCCAAATAGTGTGGCAGGGTCTCTACTCAACATCTCATCTGAAAGTCCTCACTTCAGAGATTGCGGTGGTCCACTGATACTGCACACAAACATAAGCCTGGGTTATCTACTCAAGTTTCTGTACAATAGCCAGAACACCACTCCCAAAATGCCTCTGGAATACAAGTAGAAAATGAAGCAGGGGAAAAATAGAGGCAAGTCTCAGGCTTGGTACTGGCTCTGTTATTTTCAGAAATGCGACAATAATGAGAACAAAACTGCAGTGCATTGCTGTGATGCTAGAAATCACAGCGGGTCAGACAGCATCCATGGAGAGACACAAAGCTGAAGTTTGGAGTCCAGATGACTCTTCATCAGAAGACAGTACATTGGCCCATTTCTCTTGATCACCCAGGTGTGGGGACTTGCCAGTGGGCCCTGAACAGCCATAACCATTCCCTCACCTCCATCGTATCGCCCAAAATCACCACTTCATCCAGCAAGCACAAGGCACACGTTTTCAGTTCCACAATCACTGGTGCTAGTTCAGTACATTCCATCAACATTGCAGAGACCTGTGGGTGGTACCCTAAGCCTGGCAGTTTGTACAGTCACAGACTACAGTTGTGGCCATGCAGGAAGAAGCCGAGGAGGCAACAGAGTTCTCCTTAAGTAAGGAAAAGACAAGGTCGTTCGATCTCTTTCTTAGTATAGTCAGGTTACTGTCTGGACTGAATGTACACATACAATTTTAGTCCCCTTACTAGAGGGGGGATGTGGTTGCATTGGTGGCAGCTTAGAGGAGGTTCATTAGATTGATTTCAGAGATGAGGGGTTTGTCTTATGAAGAGACAGACCCTAATCCTAGCATACTTTAGGCCCATAGCTCTGGAATGTAGCAGAATGAGACGAGATCTAGTTGAGGGATAGAAAATGCAAAAAGGATTGACAAGGTACGTGTAGAAAGGATGTTTCCTCATGTGGGACAATCTAGAATGCGAGTTCATGGTTTTAGGATAAGGAGTAGCAGATTCAGAACGGAAATGAGGGGAAATTACTTCTCTCAAAGGATCATGAAAATCTGGAATTCTCTACTCCACAGTGTGATGAACGCTGGGATACTGAGTAAACCTGAAGAGCAGACAGATTTTTAATTAGTTATGGGATGAAGGGTTATGGAGAGCGGGTAGAAAAGATGAGATCAGACATAGGTTTAAATGGCAGAGCAGATCTGAGGAGCTGAATTGCTACCCTTGTTCCTGCTCTCGTGTTAACTTGAGGTAACAATTGTGTCCAAGAATGTATATTCTATTTGTGACCCAAGACAAATAAGGAATTAAATACACAGACATGAGAGACAGATGTGAAAAGAGTAAAGTCAAAGTAAAACAGCTCAATAGTGTTCCATCTTTCCTAGATTCTAGACTCAGTGGCCAAAGAACATGAATACTTAAAGCCATAATTCTTACCATTTTCTTTTCTGCATCTTTAGGATCATCCACATAGGAAAGGATAAAGTCAATTCTTCTGACTCCATCACAGAAGAAAACAGAGTCTTTGCTGTGGATCTGCTTGTCAATCTGAGGAATAAGCAGAAGACAGAACATGAAAAACATGAGTCTGAGCAAAGAGAAAACAGACCCATTTTTCTAACCCTGACACAGCAGGTAACTGTTTACTGTCCAAAAGGCAAATGACCTAGACACAGCCGCAGCTCAGAGTCCATGCCCACTTATGTAGCAATAGCAATGAGGTATGCAGGAATTTGGGCACAAGAATGGTTTTGCTTCTGACAAAGTGTCTTCTGAATACAAATTAGCCCCTCATTCATTTGCTATTTGCAGCTATCAAACACAACTACAATTGTCACACAATCTAACTATTCTTGCTCAACAAAACAATTACAGCACAGTATCTTTCTGTGTCTGGTGAATTTTAGAGAAGGGAGCATCGATCCTCAGGTTGTTCTGTTCTCTAATGCTGGTCTAAATCACAAGGCAGCTGAATGATTCACCACATAAATCGATGCCAGGTTGGAATTAGGAAATGGCAATAAAAACTGCTGTTGTTGTTGTTAAAGCCAAACCTGTTGGATTCGCTACCATCCTTTAGGGCTCATCTAATATCTCTAAATGCCCAAAAATCTAAATGTCCTTGGGGCAACTCAGGACGTACAATAGTTACCACCCACCACTATGCTAGAGTCTTCAAATTCCAAAAGCACATTCAAAAAAGGACAATATATGCTCTGCAGTTAATGGCTTACTTTGGAAAAAGATTATTGGAGAACCAGAGTCTCAAAGCTGGGATTGAGGTCACGGATCAACAGGAACAGTGATCCTTGCCCTTCCTGCATGTTTCAGAGACTTGGAAAACTTAACAGCAGTCACAAAATATTGAAGAAGTCCCACCATTACTGTCTTAGTAAGATCCTCTAAACCTGGTACCAAAATAGAAGACCAACAGTCACATTTTCTCCAAAACAATCACTCCAAACTAGATCCATTCAGGAAGACATGCTGATATAGCCAGCACCAAGCAACCACTCTGCTCAGAACTTGGCTGCAGCAACAGGGTCCCCAGGAGTACAGCAGAAACAATTTGAGATGTCCTCAACCATCCCAAAGAGGTCTAACCAGTTTGGCTTAACCAGAAAGGCACTGACCTCATCCAGAGACTTGATGATGAACGTGCAGAGTCACACAGTCATACAGCACGGAAACAGACCCTTCGGTCCAACCAGACCATGCTGAACATAATCCCAAACTAAACTAGTCCCACCTACCTGTATTTGGCCCATATTCCTCCAAACATTTCCTTTTTAAGTACTTATCCAAATGCCTTTTAAATGTTGTAGTTGTACCCACAACCAGCACTTCCTCAGGAAGTTCATTCCACATGCTAACCACCTCTGCGCAAAAGGTTTACTCCTCATGACTTTTTAAAAATCTTTTTCCTCTCACCTTAAAAATGTGCCCATCTTGAAATCTTGAAATCCCCCATCCTAGAGAAAAGACAACTACCATTAACCCTATTTAAACCTCTCATTATTTTATAAACTTCTATAAGGTTGCCTCTGAACTTCCTATGCTCCAGTGAAGAAAAAAGTCCCAGCCTATTCAGCCTTTCTTTATTACTCAAACCATCCGTACCTGGCAACATCCTGGTAAATATCTTCTGAACCCTCTTCAGTTTAGGTGAATTGGCAACTAATCTGTTGCTAACAAGGACCCCACACTACAAACAAATTCAGAGCCAGATTATGTTCAGAATTGCTGGAGCAGGACAATGGTGTGTCATCTACCCTGATATCAGAATAAACAGCTTTACATGGATGAAATTATTCAGGCCTCTTTTGTATGGAATTGAACACACCCATCACACAGAAACAGGCCTTTCGACCTGACTTATTTTTCCTTGTGTTTATATTTTGTGCAAACCTCTTCCTGTTCTAATTTTATTTTCCGAACATGACTTTCTCCTTCCTGTATGCATCAAGCATTTCCCTAACTGCAACCTCACCATCTGTTTCAACCAATCAGTTCTTCTCTGTGGAACATGCTACACTCCGTGTGTAAGAAATTCATCCTAATTTCTTTAAATGGTTATTTCAAATTTCTGCTACCCCGTCCTGGTCTCACCTGTAAATCAAAATAGTTGCTCCACATCATGCCTATCAGAGCACTTCATTATTTTAAAAGCAGTGTATCAGGTTTCCTCATCATCAATTTCTTTTCAGGAGAAAGCAGCCCGGCTTGCATAACCCTTCCTCCAATTGAACCCTCTTAATTCTAACAGCATCCTCGAAAATCTACTCTGCACTCTCTGCAGTGCTTTATTGATTTTTTTTGTGATACAGACACTGGAATAGAGCACAATGCTCCAAGTGTGGACTGACTGACAGAGGTTCCAAGTACAGGTAGTTCTGCCATAGGTTCTGAGGAAGGGCCACTGGACCTAAAACGTTAACTCTGTATTTTCCTTTACAGATGCCGCCAGACCTGCTGAGCTTTTCCAGCAACTTTGTTTTTGTTCTTTATTTAGTTCTGCTATAATGTGTGTTTCGTTAACACGAATTGGCCGTAACGCGATTGATGAATAGTGGACGCTGTTTGGATAACATGAACTTTCTGCGGTACGGCTATAGTGATTTTCTGTAACAATTTCCCTATAACGTGATTTTCCACGGCGATTTCCTATAGCATGAGGTCACACAAGAATACAACTATCGCGTTGTAGGAGAGTTACCTGCACCGTCGTTGTTACCATATGGAGCTTCTCTGCCTTTTGTATTCTATGCCTGGGCACTTTTCATTTACACATTAATTAATTCTGCTGTTTTGAGGCAGCCAAGAGAGCACAGACCACACTGGAACAATGCCTTATGATTTCCAGTCACCCATTGTGTAGGAATCCTCATCCAGCTGAGTCTAGATTTAAGAAGGTCACTTCCTGGGGTTGCAATCTACTGTATAGATCTCATCAGGTTATACTTTAAAATAAGTAAAACTGCCTTTAAAACCTGATCTGCCGCGCGTATCAGTATAAACACAATACTATTCAGATGTGGTTTATCGCTTGTTCAGATCCTATCCACAGCAAGAAGCGGGGGGGATTCCTCAATTGTAAACCAACCTAAGGCTGTGTTTCCCCGAGATCCTGAAAGGTTGACATTGAACATGCGGACAGTTCTGTACTTGCACACTTTGTGAAACACTCTGCCAATAAAAAACATGGCAGCACCCAAATAAGCACAGTAAATATGAGCAAACAGGTTATAGTGACACCACTGACAGGAGTACCGCACATGAATGCTTCGCATGTATGTGCTGAGTGTGTTTTGGGGTGTCAGCACACATTCTCCTGATTCCGATAAAACACCCATTTCCATTTTTTTAAAAAATACAAACAGAAAAGCAAAGTATGAGATTACCTGGAGCAGTGCTACCTTGAGTCTTCCACACCTCCAGGGCAGACTCACATCAAATTTAATTTGAACTCACTGCAAGCTTCATGTTATGGATACAACAGATTACAGATGTAATGCTGCATTAATATTAGAGGGTATAAGGCATTCACTGAATTTATAACGTCACTGGACTAGGAATCCATGCTCCGGGAACATAGGTTCAAAACCCCGCCAAGCTGCTGAAATATAAACTCAATTAATAAATCTGGAATTGAAAGCTAGTCTCAGTAATAGTAACCACGACAAGCCAGGGATGGTCATAAAAACCCATCTGCTTTTTATGGGAAGGAAATCTGCCATCCTCACCTGGTCTGACCGACATGCTCAGTTGCCTCTTTACTGCCCTCTAATGGCCTAGAAAGACACTCAGTTCAAGGACGATTAGGAATGGGCAACAAACGCTGCTCTTGCCATGGACACCCACAACCCATGACAAAATAAGAAGGTAGATATCCAAGTCTCAGGGAACCAATATCAGCTATACATCATCCACCTTAAAATATTTACTCACTCCGTCAATGTTGACTGCAGGGTACACTGTCTTATAATATGGTGACTCCCTATACTCAGTTGGCTGGACAGCAATGCAGAACGACGCCAACAGCGTGGGTTCAGTTCCTGAACTGGCTGAGGTTACCATGACAGACACTCTGTCTCAACCCCTCGAATCGCCTGAGGTACGGTGAACCTCAGACTAAACCATCACCAGTCATCTCTCGCAACTGAGAGAGCAGCCCTGTGGTCTGGTAGGACTGTGGTGGCTTTACTATTTACAGGAACTCGCCACGGTTTTTGTTGTTAGCCCTTCTAAAACCTGGGGAACACCATCCCATCCAAATTTCTCTTCCCAATCACCTGCCTTGAATAGACATTGCCTTGGTTTCATTATGGCTGGTCCAATAAAGATGGATCTCCCTACCTAACAGCAGCATGAGGCTACTTCAACACAGGGACAGCAGCAGTTCAAGAAAAAAAAAAAGAGGTTCATAATCACCTTTTCAGGAGCAAATCAGGGATGGACATTGATGAGACATATTTAGGGATAAATACTTACTGAACAGCTCTTCCCCATCCAGTGCTAGATGTCTTTTATATTCACCCAAGAAGGTGGAAAAAGTTTTAGCTTAACCTCTCATTAGAAGTGTCATGCTACGTTTTGTGTCCAACATTCTGGAACAGAGCTCAAACCTTAGCTTTAAGCAGTCTAACCTATCTAAAATGAACCCTAGGCTGGAGTCTTAGGTCTGAGTGTAATTGCAGACTGACAAAGAGGAAAATAAACTGTTGAACTAAATTATAGGTAATTTCTCTTACACTGAACTCAACGAGTACCTCAGTCAGATGTGTGCGCGCGTACACACGTATGTCTTTGGCTTTTACTAGTTGAGCTGTTGCCAACGTGGCTGTCATATGTGGTCTGAAATTCTCCATGAAAGAGGAGGACAGTGCCGTGGAAACAATGAGTCAGTGCACACAACATCACAGACACACCACAGAATACAACACCCTACAAGACGTGAGTCAGCCACTGACTAAAATTATATAGATAAAAAAAACTCGTAGGAAATGCTCTCATGGTGACTAAACTGCAACCAGTCAGCACCAAAAGCC